GGGGAAAGAGAAATTAGGGGGGGAGAGAAATTAGGAGGGGGGGTGAGAAAGAGAAATTGGGAGGAGGAGAAGGAATTTGGAGCGGGAGGAGAGATTGACATTCATCACATACACACAATGCACCCCTTGCACACAGAAAAACACACGATGCATTACACACACACATACATACACAAGCAATGCAACTGTTACACACAATTCATCCCTTACACACACAGAAACACACAATGCATTCATTACACACACTCAATGCACCCCTTACACACATTCAATGCATCCCATACATACACAGAAACACACCGTGCAGCCCTTACACATACAAACACAATTTCACACAATGCATTCCTTACACACATATCAGGACATCCCTTACACACTCCACCCCCTGTGAACAAACTCATTGGTGGGACATGAAGGTGGACCCTGGGACCCAGACCTTGAGCTGTGTAAAGGACCCCCAAAAAATGGAGCTGCTTCCCGTTCTCCCAGAACATTGATTTTTGTGACCATAGTTACAAACCGCCTCCAGAGAGCCTGTTCTGCACCAGACCAGTGGAGCCAGACTGCAGCTAGAGCCCACCATCATCCTCATCTGGTTGTAAGTAGGCAATCTAGTATATTATTCGTGGCACTAAGCTCTAATTTACCTCACATTAAAGAAACACTATACTCCCCAGAACCATTTCAGTTTAATGTAGTGGTTCTGGTGTCTATAGCCTGTCCCTGCAGGCCTTTTAATGTAAACATGGCGGCACTGCAGCACTGGTGTTAGTTAACATGGCATATCATATGGGTGGGGCATTGTGATGTCACATGGGGGGGCGGCAAACTTTACTTTTGCCTAGGGTGGCAAAAATCCTTGCACCGGCCCTGGCTGGAGGGGGCTGTGTGAGCTGTGGCCGCACAGTGTCCCATGGTAGTTAGGGTGCCGTGCGGCCAGTACAGCTCACACAAGCAAACAGCTGATAAACTGGCCGCACGGAGGAAATGTGTATGTGTGACTGTCTGCCTGTGACTGTATGTGACTGTCTGCCTGTAACTGAGTGTGTGACTGTCTGTCTGTAACTGAGTGTGTGACTGTCTGCCTGTAAATGTGTGTGTGGGGCTGCAGGGATTTTGTAGAAG